TATCTGGGCATAAGATGATGAGTGCTTTAGGTACGATAATAATAATAATAATAATGACTACTTAAAAATATGGTTTAAAAAAAGGAAACTTAAAAGAATAATGATGTAATGATTTAAAATAAATCGAAATTCAATGTTCAATGTTTTTTTTTTATTCATTTCAGGTAAATATAGATAAGACGCCATTTTTTTTTTTTAAATTATGGTTTCTGTGTCGAATGTAAATGAGTAATAGTCAACCGTAATAATTTTCGAAATTAAATTAAAATTTCAACATAATTAATTCCCCCCAAAATTTTAACTGCCGTTAGAAAAGTTATTAATAATAATATTTTTTCCTCCCATTTGCTTTCACATATAAACGAAATCGTTTAAATCGATGAAAAACCGTTAAAAAAAAGTGACAATTAACATTCAAACACAAACTCTGACCGTTATTTGGTTTTCACAAAAACGTTTAAAAAACAAAATGTAGGTTGATTATTTATTCCTATTTAAAAAAAAAAACTTTACGCACATTTTACAAGGTCCGACCGAAACTATAAAAATCTTTAAACCGATAAATATTGTTAAATTTCAAAAATTTCTTTTAAATTAAAAATAAAACGTCGTAGTCGTCGTCGTCGTCGTCGTCGTAGTTGCCGCCACCACCGCCACCGCACGTCGTGGTACTTATCGCCGTCGTGGCAGCAAAAATGCAAAATATTATTTTTATGCTTACAAAAAAATTTTTTTTTATGACCCCAAAAAAGCTCTATAATAATAAGGCAATTTAACTTTTTTTTTTTTTTTTTTTTTCGTTTTTTGTCACTCTTTAATTATCCAAAACAATGACTCACTAAAATTACATTTAAAATAGTTTAATCGATTTCCAAAAGTCATTTTCGAATAATAATAATAATAATAATTTTTCTACCCCAATAGATAAAAATCAAAACATTAATATATCTACTGTAATAAATTTAATATATGAGTGTATGAAATCAACGGCGTTAACGACACGTTAAATAAATAATTGAATTTATTTTAAAAATATCACACGATTAGCCATAATTATAAATAAAAATAACACAATCCTCAAATTTAACAAAGATTTGAAATTATTCTCCTTGCCTTGCTACCCGTTAACGACTTTTCCCCCATTTCCTTCATATTATTATTATCATTAAATTGACTTACAAAATAAAAAGAGAATTTTAAAAATGTTGAATGAATGAATGAATGAAAACGACACACACACACATCACACCACCTTTAACATATTATTATGATATTTCACTTTTTAAAAAAAAAAATAACATTTAAAACGTATTTCTAGTAGGAATTAAGGTGAAAGAAAATATGCGTAGGAATAAGAAAAATGACGGTTATTTATTCACCACGCACAAATACATAAATGGAAACATTTTCTGATTCACATTTGGATGGATGGTTATATCAACAGATAGGTACAAGACAAATATAATCACCTCAGATTCAACGATTGTTATTTATCAAGGCACGACGTTTAAATATTTTAAAAAACATTCCAACAAAAAACTAAAACAAATAAATAAACCTTAAAAAAAAAAAAAGGATTCCAAAAATTGGAACCTTTCACAACAATGTTAACTTCACATCACGACATAACTAAACATATTAGAAAATGTCTATGAAAAAAAAAAAAAAAATATGAAATTCAAGGCTGCCTGATTTCAGTGATGTAATGTAGCCTAACAAGGTCCGTTAATAAAAATTTTAAAATGTTTATTAATTCCGTGTTATACAAATAATAAAATCCGTCAATTTAAATTATTTTATACGAAAGTATTTATATTAATTGACGTATTGCAAGTATTTAAAATTAACGCGATTGCCGTTTTTCTTATAAAATTTTTATAAATTTTACATTGTTGTTTTACACAATTAAATTTTTCTAAGGTGTTCGTTTCGTTTTAATTTACGAAATAAAAATTATTATTATTATTATTATTATTATTTACGATCGATTTATCGATCGGCTAAAAATAATCAATCAATCACTCGAAATATTTTTTTGTTTTGGTTCGAAAAAAAAAAAAAACAGATTAAATTAAAAATAACTTTTAACAACACGTAGAATAAAAATTTTCAAAAATAATAATTTTTTTTTTTTTTTTTTTCGTTTAATTTATTCAAAGCCGGCGTATTAAAGATGGCCGCGAATTTCACGTTCCAAAACGGTTTTTTTTTTAAAAATAATTTTCCGTCGGATTTTTTGTCACAAAATATCTATTGTTATTTTCCATTAATTAATTTTTAACAATAAAATAATTAAATTTATACGTTATAACGAAAAATATAATAAAAAGAAATTTTTATCATCATTTCTGTTGTAACAAACAAAAAAAAAAAAAAAATTAGTACAGACATATTGAATTAAATTAATTTATTAGATAAGTTTTTAGATATTTAACCGAAAATAAAATCAATAATGAGAAAATATATCAAAAAGTAAACAATTTATGAAAACATTTATTGCAACACCTTCCCCCCCCTCCCCACCCCCCCCTCAAAGGAATAATTTTGACGGTTTGTTATCATTTTTTACTACATTTAATAATAATAATATTAATAATTGGAAATTTAAATAAATTTCGTGTTGCTAAATTAAAAAAAAAAAAAAAAAAAATTATTTATTATTGAAAAAAGGAAAAACTTTCTGCTGTCAATGCAAAACAACAATAATAATAATAATAATAATAATAATAATAATAATGATGACAACAACGTCCCATAAAATTATTCAATTGAATTCAATTATATTTATTTGTTATTTAAAAAAAAAAAACGAAATTACGACATTAAAATTGTTTTTTTTTTTTTTTGTGTCGTGTAAATTTTGATTATTATTATTATTATTATTATTATTATTATTATTATTATTAGTATTATTATTGATTTTTACCTAAAAGATAAAAATTTATTTTTAATTTGAAATTTTACAGATTAAAATTGAGATTTTTTTTTTTTTGAAAATAAATTTTATTACTTTTTTTTTTAAATTTTTTTACGACTTAAAATGATTTAGTTAACTGCTACCACGTTTCTTTACAATTTTTTTTTTTTTTTGTTTTTTTTTTTAGGCAAGGAGAAAAATACAAAAACCAGATGAAAACTTTTATGAATAATTAAAAATTCCTTTAATGTAAAAAAAAAAAAAAAAAAAAATCCTCCATATTGTTTATAATTTGTAACGGATAAATTAATACGTGGCCATATTTTTCTTAATTTTTTTTTTTTTTTTTTTTTTCAATGGATTTAATTGTAAAAGGAAAATTTAAAAATTCACGAGCAATTTCTACATTATAGATAATAATAATAATAAATAAAATATTCGATAAATAAAAAATACGCGAAAAAATGTCAAAAAAAAAAAAAAAATTGTAATTAAAGATGGTTGAAATTATATTTTAATGTCAAATGTTATTTTTTCCAAAGACATATTAATTATTTTTTTTTATTATATATCATCCTATCATTTTTTCATTTTGTCGTAAAAGGTCAAAAATATTTAAAAAAATTTGTGTATTTGTCCAAGAAAAAAAAATTAAATTAAATAATTTCCAAATTGGAAAACAAATATTTCAAAAAAAAAAAAAAAATTATTACCATAAAAATCACATCACATTTAAAACTATTTTATAATATTTTTAATTATTATTCAAAAAAAATTAAAAAAATAATTAAACTCACATGTTAATTAATAAAATGATGTAATATGTTGTATAATTTAGAGCAAAAAAAAAAAAATTTATTAACCGTAAAAAAAAAAAAAAAAAAAAAAAAACAAAACACCAACAAAGGGGTCCCTTATTTGGGTTTGAAATTCGTAAAATAAAAAAAATTTTTTTTTTGTTTTGTTTGCGTTTTTATTTCATCGCGTAATAAACTACTAAAATATTCATAAACGACTTTAAACCATATCTATAATTTTACAAAAATAAATAATTCAATATTATTGATGTTTGTTGTCAGTTTTTTTTTTTTTGATAAATTATGAAAAAATCAATTATCATTTACCACTTGTAATCATTTTTAAATTTTTTTTGTCAGGCGTTTTATTAAAAATTTTCTTTTTTTTTTTGTATTATTATTATTTATTTTTCAATTTCAAAAAAAATTTACAAATAATAATAAAAGGGTAATTGCACCTGTAAATATTTATTTATTTATTTATTAAAATTAATTTTTTCCTAGGCTAGGACTTTGAAAAGAGATTGAAAGTGAGAGAAAGTGTAAATAGATAAATTTTTGAATTACTACTCTGATGTAAACAAAGAAAACATTTCTGAAATAAAGTTTTTTTTTTTTGGTTTCTCTGAAATTATAGAGTCGTTAAAAAAGAAACAAATAAATAAATTTGAACGATTGGAGAAAAATTCTTGCATAAAAGTTTTTTAAACAATGAAATTTATATATATATTTTACCTTGATAATGTATAAACAAACTTGTAATGATTTTTTCTTGGCGGTATTTTGTATTTCTACCGCCACGTTAAAAACTTTAAATGATCGCCCTACTGTGATACCTAAGACAGTACTGTTGTTGAGTGAAAAAGATTAGATAATTTTCTGTTTTCATATATAATTTTTTTTTTTTCTATAAAAATTGTTACTCGATGGAACCTGCAGAAATTGAATTTTTGGCCGAAGAAAAATACATAACAATAATTCCTAGATTTCATTGTAGAAAAACATATTTCATAACAGGAGAATTGGGACCTTTTCGTGCAGGTATTCCATTAAAAGTACCTTTATGGTTGGCTCGGGATTTAAAAAGACGACAAAAATGCCACGTTTTAACACCGGAATGGTTGGATTTAGAAAATTTAAGTCAACTCAATGCTGATGAAGTTAATTCTGTTAAATTTATCAAATTGCCAAGTGAAAATTATTTCATTGGTGCCAAAATAATATTGGGCTTTGGAGTTGATGTCAATTTTTTTTCATTAATGACAGCAGTTAAAGATTTGTGGGATAAAAGAAAATCAAAGTTGGAAGATGCAGCAGAAATGTTTTTAGGAATCGGAATGGATCATGTTGTTGCTCCTAAAATTACAACTGCAGAAATTAACATTGTGAGACCTCTACTACCAGAATTAACTGATTTTTTGAACAGATTAGCAAGTACTGAAATCACAAGGCCTGAAAGACTTGAAGATTCTGAAAATAGTTTAGATGAATCATTCAATTATAGCAATATTATTTCTTCTTTAAATGTCGGCTCTATTAGCACAATTGAATCATAAAGAAAAAAATGAAATTTTTTTTTTATGTTAAAAAAATTGAAATCGTAACTGAAAATAATAATAATAATCTCTGCAATTAATATTTATTTCCAAATATTTGAATAAAAAAAACCTTATTTTGATATTGGAAATTATATTTAATAAACTTAAACAAACACTTTTATTATTGTGATGTTTCGATATTGTATTTGATGATGTTTTCTATTTTCAGATGGTTTTTTTTTTTTTTTGTATTTATTAATAGCAATTATTTAATTCTTAATTATAAAATCATATGTTTTATAAAATATGCTTTAATCATTTTTTAATATATTTGAATCACAAATTATAAATAGGCTGCGTTTATTAATTCCTTTCGAAATGAAGTAATATTATCAAAATGGCTTTTAATCTAATTTTATAGTTAATAATAAAAATTACTTTTCTAAGTTTATTTTTAAAAAATGGTGTATTAAGATACATCACTCTTATAACAATTATTTATGAAATGGAATTGCGAAAAACTTGATCTACTTTATTAAAGATATCATATGAATACTTCTTAAATTAATTCGGTAACTCATTTATTATTTTCTATTATTTATCAAAAATCTTCCTCAAAATTTATTAAAATCAAATTAATTTATTATCTGTTTCCATTTTTTTTCCTTTTAATTAAAAAGAAAAATGTGTACAAACCATTTAAAATACTTTCGAAATGTTTAAAATTTAATATTAATCCAAAATGTTTTTTTTTTTGGGGAGAATAAAATAAAAAAGTTTTTGTAAAAGTGTCACAATCGAAATGTAATAAATAAAAATTAATATTACATGAAGCTTATTTTGAAGGCTTTTTGTGTAAAAAAAAAAAAAAAAAAAAAAAAAACAACTTTACAAAAAGAATTTTCTTCGACTAGTTTCCATTTCATGTCTTCTACCTTGAATAATCCATTCATATTCCCCCGTTTTAGAATCAAACGTACCTAATTGTAAAGATCTTAATTTTAATGTAAATCTAGGTCCTAATTCCATTAACCTGGGTTTAGCATTTTCTGTGAACATATATCTATGATGTCTAAAAAAAAAAAAAAAATATTTAAGCTCAATTATAATTAATCGAATGAGAATTTTAAATTTGTTTGATATAATTAATTCAATACCTGAAAAAAATGTAATCTCTTTGATTATGAAATGTAACACATCTTCTACCTTTGAATTCAGGCTCATAGTGAAATAAAGCTGCCAACATTCTCGATATTGAATAACCTAATCTTGTATTAAAGTTATTTAGTATAACTTCAGGCCTATGTTTAGAAATTTGTTTGTAATGTTTTCCTAATTCGTTGGAAAGTCTCACATTAGACAATCTAAAATGAGCCGTGGGCCCATCTGGTAAATGAATCAATAATAAACCATTCGGTTGCTTTTGATCTTCATTTACTATTATTATATCGGAAAAATTTCTTTCAGTAGCGGCTTTAACCATTTTCTTAACACTCATTCTATGCCTGTATTTTGCTATCGAATTTGGTAAAATCCTTGTCAATTCTTTGCAAAACCTTCTCGTTTTCGATAGAGGATTATCGGATGTTGTTATCAATACTTTTGGAACGTAACTTTTTTCAAAATAACTACTGTACTCATCGTTTTTAATATCGCACGCTATTTCAACATTATTTTCATCTTCTAAATCGCCAACCATAGTCTCAGTTTTAATTCTCATACTTTCAATAGTTTTTGGTTTTTCTTTTGGCTTTCCTTCCATTATCGCTGCTTTTTTTTCTTTTTTTCGTTTTTGTCTCAATTTATTTCTTTCTTTCACCTCTCCAATTCTCTGTTTCCTAAAAATATATTAAGATAGCAGATAGTAAACGTTAATTTTTTGAAATGAAATTTAATTATTTATCACATTTTGAATAATTGTTTAACTGTACGTTCAAGTGAACATAATAAAAGGTATATAATATTTACCTGGTTTTTACTTTTCCCATTTTTATTTTTTTTTTTTAATTAATTAATTAAAAGTCTGGAATTTAATTATAAGTAAACTTTGTATACCTCTTCACGTGGTATTTAATTTAAACCATAGAGTGAATTAACCTTAAAAAAAAAAAAATTTCTTTCTGTGTAAAATAGGCAAGTACCTTTTTGAAAAAAAAATGATTTTTTTTTTTTTAAATTATATATATTTTTTTTAATAAAAATATTTAACATTTATATATTTTTTTTTTGTATTTAATTAATGTCAATCATAAAATAAAATTTCAATTTAATTTAAAAATAATAAAAGTTTTAAACTGTCAAACACATTTTTAAAAAAAATACTCATTCATCAAATAATTATATTTACTTTATTTTTACAGGTAAATTAATTCAAGTTTTAAGTTTTTTTCAAATTCAAGTATTTATATAATATAATTTAAGTAAAATTTAAGTTAAAAAAAAAAAAAAAAAAACTCTGGACCCGCCAAAATAGAGAGCATTTCAGTGGTAGAAGAAATTTTTAAGCTTTTGTATTCTTGTCTATTAGTAAGTAAAATTGTTTTAGATCAAAAAAATTAACGAATATTCATTAAAATTAAATGATTTTTTTTCACATTTATAAATTTTAAATTTTCACATTTAATGTGAGTTTTGTAAAAATGAAAAATTTTACGCAAATAATTTTAAAACCGGAAAATAGTCGTATAAAATTACGATGGTTATATAAGAAAAAGTTTTATTCAACTCAAACTGATTTTTATATCAAAGACAATAGTAATAAATTACCCAAATCGAATAAGGTACTTACCAGTACCATTTTAAAAACAGAAGAAGAGGAAAGAAAAGTAATTAAAAAAAAATGTGTTGATGAAAATGTAAACGAAGTTGAAAATAAACCTTCAAGTAGAATCAATGAATTAAATATTCAAATGTTATCTGACAATTTACACGGCCAAATATTTAAAGATGGTAACTTGTCTTCATCTGACAACAATATATTAATAAAAAATTCAAAAAAATTATTAAAGCAACACGGTCTTTGGACAAATGACATAAAATTACTTGAAGATGTTGAATTAGACTTGCCTCCTCTTAAGGGGAAAAACATTGAAGAACATTTTTGGATATTAGGAGAAGAACAATCTAAACCTTATAGAAATCTTTTATTGAATTTTATATCGAAAAAACTTCCAAAATCACCAGATAAATGGCTTTGTCAAAAAGGATGGACCAAGTATGAGGAAGGTAAAGAACCTGTTCAAGTGCAGTTTCCAGATGAAGATGCTTTAATCGTAGATGTAGAAGTTTGCGTTAGTGTCGGAAACTTACCAACTTTGGCAACTGCTGTATCTGAAAATGCATGGTATGGTTGGGTTAATTCTGATTTAGCAGAAGGAATTGATTCTCTTCCTACCCAATTTTACACTGCCGAAAAACTAATTCCGTTGGGAGACAAAAATAAAACGAATCCTGCTATAGTAGTCGGTCATAATGTGTCATATGACAGATCTAAAATAAAAGAACAATATTCTTTTGAAAGCAATGCTGTGAGATTTTTAGACACAATGGCAATTCACACTTGTATTGGAGGAATTAATAAAAATCAGACAAAGGACTTAAACGAAACAAGTATTTTTAACGATTCGTCTGAAGTATTCTGTTTAATTAGTTTAAGAGACATGTATAAATTATATTGTGGACGGGAAATCTCGAAAACTGAAAGAGATGTTTTTGTCAAGGGTTCAATATTGGATATAAAAAATGATTTTGAAAATTTAATGAGTTACTGTTCAAAAGATACAATTGCAACATTTGAAATTCTTCAGAAAATTTTTCCTATTTTTCTTAACAGATTTCCACATCCGGTAACATTGGCTGGAATGTTAGAAATGAGTGTAGCTTTTTTACCAGTGACAAGTAATTGGAAAAAATTTATTTTAGAAGCAGATCAAACTTATGAAGATTTAAAAAACGAAATGAGTTTAATACTTTCGAGGAAAAGCGATTTGGCTTGTAGATTGTTTCACAATGATGAATTTAAAAAAGATTTGTGGTTGTGGGATGAAAATTGGTCGATTCAAAATTTAAAATTGACAAAAAAGAAAGTTCCAAACAATAATGAGACTAATGTAAAAGTTACTGCAAAAGAAGATGCTTTAAATGAAAAGTTTCAATATTTATTTGACTTGGGAAAAATATTACCGAAAAACAAACCATTTTTACCTGGATATCCAATGTGGTATAGAAAATTATGCGAAAAGACTGATTCAAATGTACATTTAACAACCAGCATGTTAGTCACTCCAAAATTGTTAAATTTAACATGGGAAAATTTTCCACTGTATCATTCGAAAAAACACGGTTGGGGAATATTGGTAGCTGATATATTTGCTGAAAATGTAAATACTCTTTTACCATTTGAAAAACTAAAAGAAATTACTTTGAAATCATTTGATATTCCATTAGATTTTTATAAAACGGACAATTTAAATTATAAAAATTGTGAAACCAAAAACAAATTAGTACCTCCATTTTATTATAAAGGCAATGGAATATGGTGCAATCATAAGATAGACGATTGTTGTTATTTTTTTAAACTACCTCATAAAGATGGGCCATTAAAAAACGTTGGAAATCCATTATCTCTTAATTTTACAAAAATTATGGCTAGTAATTTCCTTTGCGGAAGTGATGGAACGGCTAAAAAAGTTATAGATATAAGCACAAAAATCACATATTGGAGAAATAACAGAGACCGTATAAAAAATCAAATGGTGGTGTGGATGAATGAAAATGAATCAAATTACCCAGATCTCCTAAATGAAGATACGTCCGTAGGAATAATCATTCCCATGGTCGTTGTTGCTGGTACCGTGACAAGAAGAGCGGTTGAAAGAACGTGGTTAACGGCTTCTAAAGTATCCGAAAATAGAATAGGTTCGGAATTAAGAGCACTCGTTCAGGCTCCTTCTGGATATCATATTGTCGGTGCTGATGTAGATTCTCAGGAGCTTTGGATAGCAGCGCTATTAGGAGATTCTACCTATGCGAAGGTACACGGTTGCACTCCTTTAGGCTGGATGACGCTACAGGGTACGAAATCAAACGAGAGTGATATGCACAGTAGAACGGCCAAGGCAATCGGAATATCTCGTGATCATGCCAAAATATTAAATTATGCTCGTATTTACGGAGCTGGCGTTAAATTTGCTCAAAAACTTTTACAACAGTTTAATCCGTTACTCAATGAAAGTGACGCACTGAAAAAAGCGACAAAAATTTATCAGTACACAAAAGGAGTTAAACGTTTTACCGTTAGACCGGAAATAAGTAAATTTTTCCAAGAAAGATTCGGATGCCTGGAAGTTAACGATATGGCAACGGCGTATCAAATAACAAAAATATTAAATAAAAAATTCGGTGAAATATTTTCGGGTAGTCATTGGACACGAGGTACCGAATCTCACATGTTTAATAAATTAGAAAAAATTGCTTCCGCTTTGGAGCCGAAAACTCCGTTTCTATCTTGTCGCTTGTCCACCGCATTAGAGCCTCACTATTTAAACGATGATTATCATCTCAACACGAGAATAAATTGGGTGGTACAAAGTGGAGCCGTGGATTTTCTTCATTTAATGCTAGTCTGCATGAGATGGTTGACGAATGGTCATGCTCGATATTGTTTTAGTTTCCACGACGAAATCAGATACCTTTTTCCGTCTGAACAAAAATACAGCGGAGCTCTGGCTGTGCATTTGACCAATCTTTTCGTTAGATCATTCTGCTGCCACAGATTGGGAATATACGACTTACCTCAATCCGTTGCTTTTTTCTCATCCGTGGAAGTAGATACCATTTTAAGAAAAGAAGCGAAAGATGATTGCATCACTCCGTCAAATCCACACGGCATGGAAAAAGGTTATGGAATACCACCTGGAGAATCATTAAATATTTACGAAACAATAAAAAAATCTGGAGGAAGTCTATCAGTTTTTTTTAAAAAATCAGGTAGAGTTGAACCGTTTAAATGTTGAACTCTATATCAAAAAAAAAAAAAAAACTTGCTTGACCTCCATGTTATCATTTTTTAAATAATAATTTATTAAAATTTTTTATTTTTTTTCTTTTATTTCAACTTAAAATTATCTAATTTGAATTGATTTAACTAATTAAATTCACTTTTTTTTTTTCAGAAATGTCTCAAGCGACAAAAAAAAAACACATTCGCAGAGAAATTCTCAACGAAAGTTTTAAACTTCCAGAACCCAATGAATATATAGTTAAAGTACTGAGTAGCAGAGGAAATAACTTACATGAAGTACAAATGCCAGATTCCTCAACGTTTCTGGTATCCATGCCGAATAAATTTAGAAAAAACGTTTGGATTAAAAAAGGTGATTTCATTCTTGTACAGCCCATTGACGAAGGAGAAAAAGTAAGGGGAAAATATTTATGATTAAAAACAAATAAATTTTTAATCCAAATTCGATTTAATAAATAAAAAAATTTCATTAAATTAGGTAAAAGCAGAAATGGTTAAAGTATTACTACCAGATTATGTAAAGTTTTTAAAAAAAGAAAAAGTTTGGCCGATTGAATTTAGCAAAAACGAAAAGAAATCTGACAGTGAAATGGAAGATGATTTTATAGGGAATAAATCGAAGAAAAGTATTTCGGAAGAATCTGATAGTTCGTCATCTGATGGTTAATCTTTAAAGAATAATTTATAAATAAAATTTATATGACATGTATACATATGTAATAAATTAAATTTAAATAAATTTTTTATTAATTTTTTGAAACTTGTCACAGTATTTAAAAAAAATTATTAGCTTTTGCTACCATATTGTTCTTGTATTTTTTCTAACATTAATTCCAACCTGCCTTTCATTGATGGCCTTTTCAGTCGATTATTTTTAAATAATTTTTTATACCTCATTGCTTTTTTTTCCTTGTAGGCTTTTAATGCTTCCTCTCTTTTTTGTCTGTCTAATTCTTTTTCCATTTTTTTCCTATTTTTCTCTTCTTGAATTTGATTATATTTACATTGTGCTTTTCTAAGTAAACTATCAGACTTATGTTCTGTGGCTAAATTATTATTATTATTATTATTCGATTCTGATTTATTCGAATTAAAATGAGATTTTTGAAATTTTTTATTATACTTTTTCAATGCTTGTTTTTTTTTAATACTTTCCCATTTAAGAACTGAAAAAAAAAAAACAATTTGTATACATTTTTAAAATATTAAATTACACAACCATTTTGTAAAAAAAATTATAATTATTTACAATTCAATATGATAATTTTCTAAAATGTAAAATCATTATTCATTTAACCATCGTGTTAAAAATTTGCGTACCATTGAAAATCAAGGCTCATTTTAATTGTTTAAGGAAAATATATATTTAATTTTAAAATAATTACCTTTTGCCTTGTTATTGTATTTTAAATCACGCCATTTTTTTTTATTAAACGATTTTTTTTTATCAACTCCATCGTCACTATCATTAATATTTTTTTTATTACCGTTTAATAATGTACTCATACTGTGTAAAAATAAATCGTGTTAATATTTTTTATTTATTTAAAATAAAAAAATTAAATTAAAATTAAAAATATATGTAAATATATCTGAGTTAGTTAAAAAAAAAAAAAAATTAAATTGGCTGCACTGCATCATTTCAGCTGTTTTTTTTAGGTTTCTGCTAATTTAAAATAAAAATTTAAGAAATCGAATCGCATAAGTCAATTTTGTATTTGTAAAGTGTTATTATTGTACTTTAAACATGTTAAAATGATGAAGGACAAATAAAATGTTATTAAAAATAAATCAAAAGTTTGTAAATAAAATTTATTATTAGTTATAAAAATTTTCATTTCTGGACGTAGTTATTTGGTGAATGTGTCAATAAGACGTCATTTCAGTTAAGCCATTTTGAAATTTAGAAATTAAAGGAAATTTTTTTTTTTTTTTTTTTTTTGTTATTAATAATTTTATCGTGAGTATATAGTTTTTATTAACGTGTGTGTTTTTCTAATAAATTTAATCGATTAACGTATTATTTTTATATTTCGTTTATTACATTTCGATTGTTATATTTACTTCCCATTACGCTCAAGGCCATGTATTATAATCTTTTGTCTTATGTGTGTAGGAAGTGAGATCATCAAAATTCATTTTCTGACTGTATTTACCTGTTTACCTCTTTAAATATAATTGTTGTCATTGTGTATTTTTACAAAAAAAATTAAATTGACCCATATAAAAAAAGAAATTAATTTTTTATCACGACTTTTTGTGAATAAAATTAAAATAATAAATAAATATTCGGGTACGGTAAAGATTCAAGATTGGCTTTTTTAAAATGCATCGTAAATAACTAACTATTAGTGCAATTAGAAATTAAATTATTTTCAATTAGGTGTGTTGCCTTTATTGTAGCATATGTTTTAATTACATGTACGTGATTAATTCAATTATTTAAATAATAATAAGGAAAAAAAATAAAAAATAACGTACAATTTTTTCTTTTTCCTTATTATTTCAGGTCAAATTTAGTTAAATTTTTTATTGAAAATGGATGAAAAAGCTGAAAGAAGTCATTTAAGTTTTATAGATGATGGTGAAATGGATATTCCTCTTGCTCATTTGCCAAAATATACTGAATCACCTAAAAATGTGATTGATATTTGGTTAGAAAAAATGAATAAAGGAATTTTAACTCCTGCTAATTTTAAAGATCATTGGAGAATATGGGTGCCAAAATTTTACGCATTAGAACCCGGATCCGAATGGAATATGGAAAATGATAAATCTAATTGCGAATTGATTGATAATTTAGAAATGTTTATTGCCAATGGTGATTTTCAAGAAGTCATGAAAAGAATTAATAATGTTAATCAATCATCATCAGTTTGTGGAAAAGTTTTTAAGGTGCTCGATATTTTAATTAATAATGTAATCCATCCATCTGTTACATAACATTATAAAAAAATTTTTAAAACATTTATCTTTTTAGATACACGAACCTTTATATACCTGCAGAGAATGTGGTATGGATTCAACTTGTGTTTTATGCGTTACATGTTTTAAAAATTCAGCTCATAGAAATCACAATTACAAAATGGCGTCAGGCATGGGAGGCGGGTGTTGCGATTGTGGAGATGTTGAAGCGTGGAAAAAAGATCCTTTCTGTGATATTCACTTTACTGGTAGTCAGGTTAGTTAAATTCCCTATAAATCTAGTGTATAATTCTTTTTATAATTTCATTTATTGTTTCAAAATCAAAAATGGTAAATTTTACTCGTAGTTAAAAAATGATATTCAAAAAAATTTTCCGCTCGATATGTTAGAAAGATGTAAGATCACTTTTACCGGAATTTTGAAATATGCTTATCAAGTTTTAACATTAGAGCATTCACCTGGATTACCACATGATTTGAGGTTAAAAGAAGCAGAACAAGATCCCTTTAGTTTTTCCGATAGCCCAGATGTTTATTGTACCGTTTTATATAATGATGAAATTCATACATTTGAACAGGTATCGATTAGTTTTACCATGTAATAATGGCCGATTTAAAAAAAATTGAAGTTTGTTTTAATTCTTTATAATTTTTATGTATATTTTAGGTTATCAATAGTTTAGTTAAAATTGTAAAATGCTCTCAAAGAGATGCCACAGAATATGTTACAAATATAGATAGGGAAGGGAGAGCTGTGGTCAAATGCACATCTTTTCAACAATGTCAAGAATTAAAAACCGATATAGAACGTTTTACTTCAAAACACGGGGGTCATCCGTTAAAAGTTGAAGTTGTACATACGCACGTAATAGCTCACCAAGTGTTTGCCATGAAACTTTTACGATGGCTACAAAAAACACTTTTAACTTGTGAAAATTTTAGACAAATATTTACCCAAGTTGCGCTAACACCCATTCCCCCGGATCCCTCGATCGTCGAAGGAATTCTTTTGAGGGATTCGAAATTGTGGAAATCGGCGAGAAGTCATTGGCATAGATTATTTATATCCGGAATGCTTATGGAATACAACAGTAAAAAAGCGTTGGCAAAAGTTTTTACCAAGAATTACGGTACGGTGATAAAAGACTTTATCAACGATGATCACGATCATTCGTTTTCAATAGCCAGTTTATCCGTTCAAATATTCACGACTCCGACTCTAACGCATCATTTAATAGCCGAAGAAGAAGTTTTATTTATATTGTTTCACACTTTCATGTCGGAGTGCTCGAGGAAATTTAATAAAAATGGAAAGTTGCAATTCGATAGAAATGTTTCTAATCAAAGTTTTAAAAGAGCACAATATATTTTGTACGATTTGAAATATTTATTCAGTTCCGTGCCGACAGAATCTCAATGGACGGACAATCTTAGACGAGGTTTTCTTCAAGGTTTCTCGTCATTTTTAAATCTTTTAACTTGCATGCAAGGTAAGGGAAAATAAAAGTAGTTTTGTATATAACTTCCTATATTTAAAATCTATTCCGATTGCTTTAATAAATACAATTTCTTTTTTTTTTTTTTTTAAAGGAATGGATTCTGTGACGCGTCAAGTTATACAACACATGGAATTCGAACCGGTATGGGAAGCAGCTTTTCAACTTCACATCAAGTTGTCTTTAGTTATTACTCTCATTATAAAATGGTGTGGCTCCGACAAAGTAGTATTAATAAAAGCTTTCCGTGCAACATTAAACAAATTAAACGAGTGCAAGCTCGAAGGAACTCAAACGAATGAAGTTCGAGAATTAGCAGATCATAGTGCGACTTGCATTCAATTCGATGTAGCCACTCAACCGGTGTCCATACATTTACCATTATCGAGATTTTTGGCCGGATTATATTTGCATTTAGGAAAATATAATTTGACGTTTAATAGCCCAGAATTTCAAGCCACTGTTAAACCGTCCCCCGAGCAAATTATTGAACCGATTTTAAGAACTCAGGTAAAAAAAAACTACGTAAAAATGTTTTTTAAATTTTGTAAATTTAAATATTATGTTTTGTTATGTAAAAAAAAAAATTTACTTTTGCGTAATTTAATTTAGGTTATGATTGCTCAAGTGCATTCTGCTATGTGGAGAAGAAATGGTTACTCTCTGTTAAATCAATTATATCTTTATCATAGCGTGCGATGCAGAACGGAAATGTTGGATCGCGATGTTGTTATGCTTCAAATGGGTGCCACGTTAATTCAAAGCGACGAATTTTTAATTCATCTCTTAAATAAATTTAATTTATTAAATTGGGCGGATCCAGATTTCGAAGAGAATTCGCTAAAAAATCGGGAAGACGATAGCATGCATCAAACGATAAGTCTCGTCGAAGAATTTCTAGGGCTTCTTATAGTTATTTTAGGGGAAAGAACGGTGCCCGGAGTGGGAAAAGTAACGTGCGATGATCAAATTAAAAAGCAAATAGTTCAACAATTATGTATAAAACCAATGGCGCATTCTGAATTGAATAAAACTTTGCCCGATGACGTAAACCTCGAAACCGGTTTGGAAAAAGTTATTGATGAAGTGGCAGTTTTTAAAAAACCGGTTCAAGGCTCGGGGAAAGGTGTTTACGAATTGAAACCTGAATTATACGATCAATATAACATGTACTTTTACCATTACACAAAAGAAGAACTTTCTAAATCGGAAGAAGAACAAAGGAAAAGGCGGAAAACGGCCAAGGAATTGGAGTGTTGTCCGCCTCCGAAACTTCCGCTTTTAACCGAAGCTTTCCACACGCTACCTAATTTATTTCAATGCGACGTCATGTTTTACATTATTCAAACCGTTCTTAAACGTTGTTTAAATTTAAGAGCGAGAAGTTTTTCCGAGCATCAGTTGCAAAAAGTCCTGCATTTAATTGGTTATGCCTTGCAGGAAGAAGAGTCTAAAGAATATCCATACCTGATGTTTGCAGAAAAATCAATGAAATGGAATATAGAAAAATTATTAGAAGACCTACTGCCTAGCGCTCGAGTAGAAGCTCATAGAGATATGTTAACTTGGACCTTGAATAAATTTAAGCAAGTGAAGGCGACTAGGGAAAATGTAGAAGGATCCGTGCCGATGTGTACGTCAACCGATGTTCCGAACGAAAGTTCTGGAAAAGACAGCAAAGAATGGAGAGCGAAAATGGCGGCGGAAAAAAGAGCGAAAATCCTTGCTCAAATGGCGGCCATGCAAAAAAGCTTCATGCAAGAAAATGCAAAATTGTTTGAAAATACAATTTCCTACCCCGAGAAATCGGGCGAGCGAGTATCAATGATGGATTACAGTGAAAGTGATGAAAAAGATCCCGTGGCTTTGGGACCCAATCAAACTTCGAAATTTCTTTGCGAAAAAACATTCACTTGCATTCTATGTCAGGAAGACACTGCTGTTTCCGTCGAAGGCTCGGCCTTGGTTTCGCCGGCATTCATTCAAAAATCAACCGTACACGCGAATAGTCGAGTCGGAATGGAAAAACCCGACGAAGTTTTAGCCAAACCTCTTTTTCTTCCGACTAATTTTCGTCCTCAGCCTCACACTAGGATTTGTAGTCACGTGATGCATAGCTCTTGTTGGAGGAAATATTTCGATATAGTTTTAGCAAAGGAAAATAGGCGTCCTTACCGTTTGAGACAGCCCATGGGTTTTGACATTGAGAAAAAAGAATTTTTTTGTCCTTTGTGCGAATGTTTGAGTAACGCCGTTCTTCCTATACTTCCACCCTTGGGAACGATCAAACCGACCACTCCCATCTCGGAAGTTACTTTCGAAGAATACGTCGAAGGTTTGATGGTGGCATTGAAACACAAGAGCAGACAACAAACATCGACTAATTCTCCAATGAATTTCGCATCGGACGAAGTCGAAGATGAATATTTCGGTAACAGTTTACTTCGCATAAGCCTTTTGGACAAGGTTCAAAGCGAAATGGGCGAAGGATCCGGATCGAGGTTTTCGGAGCTTTTCCCTCAGGATGATCCTCCCAAATTATCACAATCTCTCGTAGACATGATTTTATTTTTTGCAAATGCAACGTACGCGAAAGGTTTAAACGTCATTCCGTCTATAAATAATTTTTTCGTACCGATAATGGCGTGGAACACTTGTTACTACACGATTTTATCAACCGAAAGCCTTTTGGCAGATCAGGATAAGCCACTCATGGGTGCATTGTCAAGTCGTCAGAAAGACTGTTTGGAAAACTTGACTCGATTTGCCGGAGTTTTGGGAGTCGTTTGGGAGAAAGCATACGACATAAGCAATCACGCGCTGTTTTTGCTGTCGATGATCTTGAAAAACAATTCCAAGGTTCTGGCTCTCCCCTGCATACTCGATTGGGATTCTTTCGGTCTTTTGGTACCTTTAACCCTTTCTCTACCGAATTTATTTTGTAATAACGCGGCCGGAAACGTTCCCACGGGAGGGATTTTAGAATTGTACACGTTGAAACTTGTATTTTTATCTCACGTAACGAAAATCCTTTTGATCACCGAGTTCGGCGGGGGGGAAATGGAAAACGACGATTTTGAAAATACGACAAATCTATCGTTGCACGAATCGGAAATTGTTTTAGGCGTGCTTTCGAGCATAAAAAAAGCTTGCAATTACGATTTGTCAGACGTTTGGGAATTGAATGCGGATCACGTGTGGGAAACGGTGAAAAGAGCCTCGCTGCCATTTTTACGTTGCTGTGCATTATTTTATCACTTTTTAACCGACGTACCGTATCCGGTTTGTTTAACGGAATTGGGTGGAGACACGTACGAAGAATTATGTAAATATTTAAGTTTACCACTGACGGTAACGGAATTGTTTGAATCTCCCAAATACAAGGACTTGATAACGATATGGTTGACTCACGAAAGAGTGCCCGGATGCCTGTCGTCGAAAAGTTTCGTGAGTCTGCCCAAAGCCATAAACGGCCTAGTGAATTTACCGAGAGACTACAGCGAATTGATAAACATGGTATCGACATTTACGTGTCCGAACAGCGATAGGGACGACACGAGAAATCCGACGATGTGTCTCGTTTGCGGAGAAATGTTGTGCTCCCAAAGTTATTGCTGTCAACAGGAATTGAATAACATATCGGTGGGAGCGTGCACATTTCACGCTCACCGATGCGGAGCAAATTGCGGAATATTTTTAAGGGTTCGAGAATGCGAAATATTATTGTTGGCCACGCCGAACAGAGGTTGTTTCTTGCCCGCGCCCTATCTCGACAGGTACGGAGAAGCGGATCCAGGTTTGAGCAGGGGTAATCCTCTAACTCTGAGTCAAGAACAATATAAAAAATTGAGATTTCTTTGGCTGAGTCACGGTATTTACGAGAAAATAGCAAGAGCGACGGATTCGAGCAATAACGTGGTGGCAACGCAATGGCAAAATTTGTAATTCTAAAATACATATATTTGTAAATTTTTTTTTTTTTTTTAATTTTCTCTTGTATAAAAAAAAAAAAAAAAAAAAACACAAAAACAACAAAAAACATACAAAAAAAAGGAAAAAGAAAGAAAGAAAGAAAGAAAAAAAAAAAAAATTTTTTTACGATTTGAAAACCGAGAAATAGTTTGTTTGTTTTTTTCTTCTTTTTTCATTATATATATATAATAAAAATAATAAAAGCTAGTCAAGTTTACATTTGAATATTAAAGTAGATGAAACAAACAAAAGTTTTAATTGATTTTAATGAGTGGAAAACAATCACGATTATTTTCATTTTTCTTCTGCAATATTTTAAAAAAAATAAAAAAATAAAAAAAAATAACACGAGTGTAAATGATGTCATACATTTTATACAAATCGTTCATGTTTGTTTGTTTGTTTGAATTCATTTTTTTGGTTGTTAATTAATATACGCAACAAACACATACAGAAAAACAAAAAAATGAGGCTGCAATCAAAAGATTTAAAAATTTTTTTTTTCTGAGGCAGTATTAATGAAATAATTTGATTATTAATTACAAATAATAATAATAATAATAATAATAAAGTGAATGGCATTTTTTTCTTTTGTAATTTATTTTATTTAAAAAAAAAAAAAAAAAACAGTTTTATATTCCATCGATATAATAATAATAATATCATCTTTTTCCTTTTTTTTAACTGAAAACTTGTTTCGGTAAAGTAAAGACATTTCTTATAATAAGGAATGTTTTTCTATCATATTTCGAATAATAATAATAAATAATTAATGGACGAGGAAATAATAATAATAATAATAATAATAATTAAAATTAATGAATTTCCAAAGCTTGAGTTAATAATTCGTTCATGTCCGTTAATATTATTCTAGGATCTTCCAACAATCCGGCTGATACCATTGCATTGCTAAACAATTGTTTTGCCACCAAATCCGCCAATTTCGGATTAGAATTTTTTAATTTGCATAATTTTTTTATTATTGGATGCCTGAAACAGAATTTTTTTTTTTTTTTTTAAATAACTTGAATTCGAATTTAAATTAAAAAAGAAAAAAAAGGTGGGTGGGGGGGGGATGAAAACAAACTTTGGATTGATTTCCAATTGTGGTTTTAATAATGCATATTTGCTTTCTTCTGATATTGCTGTTGCTTGCTGCCTGAGAAATTGACGTGCTGATGCCATTTCTTCGACTGTTACCACACACGGATGAGCTTGTAAACGATTTGTCGTTTTAACAGAATGTATTTTACCAGCAAGTGTGCTTTTCAACCAATTTTTCAAATTATCAATCTCTCCTTTTATTATGTCCGAACCTGTAAAAAAAAATCACGCGCCGCCATTTTAATCTATCTAACAAAAAAAAAAAACCCAGGTAGGTAGTAGTAAAGGTAAAACAAAACCTAAATCCGTCGCATCCGAACTCTTATCATCCCTCATTTCTTTTTCCAATGACACTAATCTACATTTTCCAAATTCTCTCAAATGCATGAAAACTAATTCGTCGTAAGGTTCGTAACAAAATAAAACGTCGATGTTTTGCTTTTTTAAACTTTCAAAATATGGCGAAGATTCTGCCAATTCTCTGCTGGGTGCTGCCAAATAATAAATATCTTTCCTGTTGTCTTTTATATTTTCAACGTATTCCGTCAGTGTTTTTTTTACACCCGGAGGACTCGTGGAAAATTCAAATTTTAACAGTTTAGCTATTTCTTCCTATAAATAAATATAAATTTAAATTTTTTTTTCTTTCTCTTATAACCAATTGGGGTTGTTACCACCACCACCCACTTTTTCTAAAACATCATGCGTTGTGACGATTCCTTCTTTTATAAATAAACCATAATCCTGATGAAATTTTTCATATTCTTCCGGTTCTTTGACGAGTTTCTCTTGCAAAAATTTCAACACTTTCGTCGTTAAAATGTACCTGAGTTTGGCAATAAGAGCGCTATTTTGTAAAAGTTCTCGACTTAAATTTAAAGGTATATCCTCGGAATCGACAACTCCTTTAACAAATCTAAGCCATTTTGGTAAAATATTTTCCGCTCTACTTTTTATTAAAACCTACGAAAAGAAAGTAAAAGGATAAAATTTAAAGATAAAATTTTTAAGATGAAATACATGCGATGAATAAGAAATTACTTTTTTAGTATAGAGAGAAACTCCTAAATCTGCATCTCGAGACAATTCAAATAATCCAGGTTTACCATCTGGAAAATATAAAAGAGCTCGAATCATCATGGGTGAATCCGTTTTATAATGTAACGTAAATCTTGGACGATCGTATGTGTTTCCAATATATCTGAAAAATTCATCATGTTGTTCTTTTGTAACCTCTTTGGCATCTTTCAACCAAAGAGGTTGTATCGTGTTGACTTGTTTTCCATTAACAAATATTGGACTTCCGACAAAGTTGCTATATTTCTGTATGACATCTACAGCACAAAAAAAAGAAAATGAATATGTTAAATTTGGAAATAATGTGCAACTAATTTAAAAGAATATAAAATTTTTTCCTCTTACTCTTGACTGTATTTTCATCGGAAAATTCTCTGCAATCGATTTTGAGGTGAATTATTATTTTTGTACCTTCTTGTACGCCTTCCGCTTCTTGAATATCATATGTTCCACTCCTGATTGATGATATATATTTATATGAGAAAGTGTAATTTCATTAAAAGGGATGTAGTTTTAAATGAAATTATTACCCATCAGTAGACCATTTGTATCCTACAGAATTTTCCTTATGAGATTTGGTATAAACTTCGACTTTTTCTGCGACCATAAAACTGCTGTAAAAACCTACACCAAATTGTCCAATTATTGATGACACATCAGATGATGTTGATGGTCCTTTTTCTTTTAATTTTTCTATAAAAGACTAAAAAGGGAATTTTATAATTAAAAATTAGTCAAATTTACTTGATTTGTTTTAAAACATTAATTTTTTTTTTTCTCCAAAAACCTTAGATCCTGATCTTGCTATGGTACCTAAATTTGATACTAATTCTTCTTTGGTCATTCCTATACCTGTATCCTGAAAAACAAAAGTTTGGATAGAATATAATTTGATTACACAAATAAAAATAATGATGATTTTATTTTCATGTATACCTGAATTGTTATAATACGATTTTGTTTATCTGTACCGATATGAATTTCTAATGGTGTGTCAAAAGATTTTCCTTCAGAAAGTGATGTGTACCTTAACTTTTCTAATGCATCACTTGCATTCGATATTAATTCTCTAATAAAAACCTTAAATCAATAAAGTAACATGAAAATTTGTCGAGGATGGAAAAACAAATTTACAAAAAAAAAGAAAAATTACTTCTTTATCGGAATATAAAGACTTTGCTACAATATCTAACAACATTTTTGTTTCTGCTTTGAACTCATGTGTATTTTTATCCCCTAAAAAAAAAAAAAAAAAATAATTTTTTAAAATAAATGTCAAAAAAATTGTTTATGTTATCGCGCAGAATTACAATAATTTACCGGTAGTTTTTTCTGTGTCTTTAATAATTGAATGAAAATCATTTTCAACATCTTTTGTAGCTTGAGATTCTTGACTGAAATAACATGATTGTATTCCTCCCAATCCTAAAAAGTTATGATGTGATTTAATTTTTATAAAATTTTTAATAGTTTTTTTACAAAACAAATTTAATAATAACTTACTAGATACAGTTTCTATAGGAGAAATATTTTGAAATGCTCTGTTGTAAAAAATTAGTTTTGATTGCCTTCCAATTCTTAAAAAATTTCTAAGAGCCATTATAATAAAAAATGATTTAAGTTTTTTTTTTTTTTTTCTTTTTTTTATTCGGCTCGTTAAATAAAGTTTTGAGGTTAAATAAAAAAAAAAAAAAAAAAAAAAAAATTTCGATTCTCGAAATGCCGGAAAATCGAAATAATAATTTAATCGGTAGTAAAGTGCTGCCACTACAATGAAACAAAATGATAGCGTCTTAATAGTGAACTAATGAGAAATAAGTTTGAGGAGGAAGTAGCGTTATTAGATCACTTCAAGTGCACGCGCCGGTTGCCAGGGATGTGCGATGAGATCAGTGACCACGAAGACTTGGACTTTTCGATCTGGAATACAAATCGCTAAGTGTTTGTGTGTGCAATTTCACAGTGGATCACGGAGGCGGCTGTGTCGACGCCGGAGGACTATTGCCTCCCGGTGGCAAACCTCAACACCTTGCCGCCCCCGGGGTTTTGCCCCAACAAATGGGGGAGGTTTTAACTCCGAGAAAACAAGCAGTTGTTGATCGTCTTCGTAGAAGAATAGAAAATTATAGGAGAAGGCAAACTGATTTTATGCCTAGATTCGATCAAACGTTTAATGGTCTTTGCGAACAAAACATACAAGAAACTCTTTTATTAAAGCAAAAGTTTTTAGAAAACAAAGCTAAACGTACGGCCAAAAAGCAGGATAAAAAACAATCAGAAATACCAAACAACATTCAAAACAATCTTCTTGCTGTAAGTGTTTTTATATTTTTTTTTTGTTTTTTTTTTTCTTCTTTTAACTGTCACATAATAATTAAATAATTATCGTTTGAATAACTGTCATTTGCGAAAATGTTTTCATTGAAAAGTCAAACTTTGACATTCCTATGGAGGAACTAACTAACAATCACTGCGCAAAGGTGAATTTAAAAAAAATGACGGTTATAAAAATGTTTTTTTTAAATTTTATTTTATTTTATTTTAAATGTTATATATATTTAACTTAATATTTATGGGATGAATTAAAAATTAAACAACATTTTAAAGGCATCTGTTCATACTATTGAAGTGTGATACATTTTGTTTGTGTTTAGTCTCTTGTATTTATTTATTTCCAAGTCATCAAAATATCTCTTAAAGTTTGGTTATTTAATTTCTTCTTTTTTTTTAACTTGATGATAACTTTAAATCATCATCATCATCATCTTCATAGATAGATTTACCAATCAAATAAAAAAAAAATTATTTAAAATTTCACATCGTTCGATTGTATTTTGTGTTGTGTTGACTGTTTGAAATGTTCGATTGAGTTTTTCCTTTATATAAATTTTGTTTTTGTCGCACATTAAGTTTCTCATTAGTTTTTCCAACCGAAAGAAAAAACAATTATAGGTTTATTTGTACTTTTTTGTCCATTGGGAAAATGTTTTTTGAGGTTAAGTTTCTTTCTTACATATCTCTCTCATCATTTCATTCTGCTCGTTTCGTTTAATATTAGTTATTCAAATTGAGTGTGATACTGTCGAATGAAATCAGTAAAATGAATAAATATAAGTAGTTAATTTCTCATAATGTTGTGTAAGAAAAGACTTGTACAGTTGTGTATTGTGCTAAATCATTTGTTATGTAAAATACAACTAACCTCGAATCTATAACCTTTCTTTCTTTCTTTCCTTCGAATAATTTTTATTCATGAGTAAAAAAATATTAATAAATTTATTTTGATTAAATTATAATTTTTTTGCAACTGAGTGTTTTTAACACATAATTGTTTAAAATAGAAAAAAAAAATCTCTCTGTGAAGGTTTGTTTATTTTGTTTTTCTCACACAACCAGTTTCGTCAAATGATTTAAAATCATATTGAATTTTTTTTAAAATGGGGATTATTACATGGATATGTGCAATATGAAAAATATCTGGTTATTGCACATTAAGATTTATTAATAAAATTTTTATTTGGTATGAAAATAATCAAATTAGTTTATATTTAGATGGATATTTACAATGAATGTTCGATTAACAAGCAATTATGCAATTTTTTTTTTCCCTTTAGCAAGGAAATCGAGTAATTTCATCTGTTATGAATTATTGTTAAGTCATTATCGTTTACAAATGTATTATTAGGGAAATGATGGTTTTAAATAAAAAAGCAAATTTTTTTATTACTTTTATTTTAATGAAAAATCACATCATGAAAGTTAATCTTTCATTTCATTCGAATTCATTTTAAATAGTACTATTAGTGGTTATGTGCGCTTTAGTGCGAGTAGTTTACATGTTTCGATTAATAACAATTTGAAACAAAAAAATGATGAATTAGTCGAAATGTTCTTTCTTGAAGCATTTTCTTTAGTATTGTTGTTGTTGTTGTTGTTTTTATAATGGATTATGAGCAATGTTAAAAAAAAAAAAAAAATTTGAAGAAATTTGAGCATCAATCGAGTATTTTATTTGTTTGCATTTACATGATGTAAAATTTTAATTATTTAACGATTAAGGATAAGGTAAATCTTTCGCATTGTTTGTTCCAATCATGTAGTAATCAGGTACTAATAAGAATTTTTTTTAAGGTTGCAGGCACTAATAAGAATGTTTTTTATATTAAAAAACGTTTTTATATGATTCTATTCTCAATAAGTAATTTATAAATATGGTTGAACCTCTTCTACATCAATCTCATGTGTTTGTCATGATTTGGAGTTTGTTTGAATGTAATAAATTCTAAAAGTTTTTTGTTGTTGAAGTACTAGCTGTGGAAACTCTTGAATCGTTTAGAATAATTTTAATTTAAATTTTTTTTTTTTTTGCAAATGAAACGAATTAAAATCCGTTGATAAAAACTAACAAAACAATATTAATAATAACAATGTTGAAAAATATTTGAAATAAAAATTTGATGTTTTTCAATTGAATAGTACAAGACGTAGTCGAGTGGCATGCATGTGCCAGACACAGGATCAAACAAAAAAATTTCATTCTTCATTACACAATCGTCAATATTCTGTCATTTTCTTACATTTTTTTTCGTACGTGTTTTAATATCATAGGATAAGTTGTGAGACGCATAACGATTTAACGTAATTACAAAATGGGTTTTCTTACGTTGAAACGACGATCCGTGTGTGTGTGTGTGTGTGATCGCGCAGGGAGTTCTATTTAGTAGTTTTTTTTTTTTATATATGAAAAGAGAAACGAAACGAAAATGAATTGCGTTACAAAAAGTCTACTTTTGGACACAATCAACAACACAAAAACAATCGCAATCGAGTTTGCCCCCCTTTTTTTTTTTTTAAAAAAAAAAAAAAAAAAAAATTTTACTTTATTAATTTAATTTATTTTCCTTCTTCTTCTTCTTCTTCTTTCGTAACGAATGGCGGGCGGCGCGGGCGGTCGGGGAAAAAAGTAAAATTTTTAATAATTTTTGCAGGGAATTTTTTTCCCCCCTCTTACAAATCTCTTCCACCATTTTGATAAACCTTTTAATGGTATTTGTGAGAGTGAGAAGTTTTACCTTTATTACGATTGTTTTTTTTTTTTTTTTTTAATAAAAAATTGAAGAGTTTTTTCGCATTTAGTTTAATTTCGTATAATCGTTTTTTTTCAACGTCAACGATGTCTTCTAAGACGTAAGTCATAAAACATATATAATAATATTCGAAAGAAAGAATTTGGAGTTCTTTATTCCATTGCTCGATGTTAAGTTACAGAACAAAACCGTTTATTATTATTATTATTATTATTATTATTATTATTATTATTATTATTATTAGTTTCTGGTAGCATTCTCCTTTGAAAACCGCAAAAAAATTAAATAAAAATAAAAATAAAATAATGATAAGATAATATACAAGGTTATTTTTATAACATTACTCGAGATAAGACCAATTTCTGCTCTTGAAAAAAAAAAAAAATAGAAAACATTAATAAATTCATGAATCCGTTTACGAACGGATCGAGTAAAAATTAAAATGAAATTATTTGACAAAAACAACATGGCGGCGTGTCTGATGATTTTAAATTAAATGAAATTTTAATTTCGCGTCCCCTTAAATTTTTTTTTTAATTACGCGAGGTAAATATATATAAATATTAAATATTAAATATTAGGAAACATTTTTTATTAATAGTGACGATAATAATGATAATAATAATTAAAAAGAATCGATATTTCGGGTTTAAAATCGTTTTATCTTTTTTTCGGTCGGTTTTTTCATTTTGCAAAGGTTGGAGTGAGAGAGAGAGAGAGAGAGAGAGGGTTGCATTTTGTCGAACGTGGTTTTTATCACAACATTTCAAATATTGGCAATTTTGTGTTTTGGTTTCTGAACGCGCACGCGTTTTTATTAACAACCGTTACAATTTAGTCAAATTATTCGATTGTTTTCTTTTTTTTTTTCTGTTTTATTAAACGGATTTAATGCCTCGGAACAATTTAATTTTTTTTTTTCTTATCAAATTATTACGGTAATTTTTTTTTTTTTTTGATGCTTTTAAGCCGTTATATAAATGACGATAAAAAAAAAAAAAAAAAAAGAAAAAAATTAAAATTAAAATTAAAATGTTGTGATTTAAAATAAAAATATTTTCTATCTCTTTCACTGTCTCTCTTTTTAAACTTTTGTAATAATTCATTTTTTTTTTTTTTCATTTTTTTGATGAGGGTTGGGGTTTGTTTGTTTGTTTGTTTGCCTTTCGAGATTAATCGGGACGAGGTTTTTCTCTTTTTTTTTTTTTTTTTTTTCTCTCTAATCAGATTTTTTTAAAAACTGTAAAAGAATACGCGCGTACGTGTATGCACACATACACGTATAAATAATGTTAGTTTGTCAAGGTTATTGTTTGAACTTTTACTGCTTTCTTATTATATTAAGTCATTAGAAAGATAATAATAATAATAATAATAATTTTTAAATAAAACTAATTGAGAAATATCAGGTACGAACGAAGTAAAAAAAAAAAAGTATTTAAAAAGTTTTTTTTTCTTTATCAATGGGAAATAAGGTTTTGTAAATTAAAAACTCTTACGAGTAATTTTATGGGGGGGGGGGAAAGGGGGAAATAATCACATCACCTGTTGCTATTTTAATTATGAAAAATATACCTCCCTTTTGTAATTTTTTTTTTTTTTTTTTTTGTCGTATTTAAACATGTGCAGCTGCTGCCCCCCCTATTATAATAATAATAATAATAATAAAAGAGGAAACCGATGCCGCGCGTGCAGTACTGGACTCCTGTAAGCCCCCTGGCAACAACGCTTAGATCATTACCATCATTGAAAAAAAAAAAAAAAAAAAAAAAAAAAAACGACGACTGACTCGCTATTCGAAAATCGACCGTATTACACTACGAACGTCTTTTCTTTGTTAAATGGCGCAGACTAGTTTGGATAATTTATTTTCATTTTTTTTATTTTATTTTCATTTTTTTCACGCAAATTAAAATAGGTAATAGGAAGAGGAGGAGGAGGAGGAGGGAAAACGTTATAATATTTTCTTTTTTTTTTAAATTGTGAAGGATTGAAAAGAAAATTCCGAAAAATCTCCTTCCGGAAAAAAGGGAGTTTCGTAGTTATGAAAATGTCGATCCTTTTAGCTTGAATTTTTTTTTTTTAAATACTTCTCTTAAGTGGTGGTGGTGAAAATTTTATGAAAATTTTCCCGACGGGAGAGAGAAAATAAAAAACAAGAATTTATTTCCGTGTCCGACGAAAGTCTTGCCGTGACCGAGAAAGAAAAGCGCGTCGATGGTCGCCATTATGGGAAAATTTTAAATTTGGATTAAACGATTTCAAAGGATGGGTTAAAGTCGCGGCGACAGGAGGAAGAGGAGGAAGAAGAAGAAAAGGGAAAAAATATTTAATCGAGTAGAGAAAAATATGAAAATACGAATGGTAGAGGACTCTCGAAAAGGGAATGCAAAAGAGAGAGAGAGAGAAAGAGAAGGAAAAGATGAAACGACGTACGAAAAATGTTAAATTTGATTTGAAGCCAACAAAAAAAAACAGGAAAAAATTTTCAAGTCAAAATGATGAAAATAATGTATTTTCTCTTCTCTCGAAATTGTCGACTTTTGA